GTATGTCTGATCACATATGTTTATATTTTGAAAAACAAAGCAAAAATGTGAGAAGTAATAAATTTGATGAGAAATATCAGAAATGCGGAAGAATGGAAAAGATGAAGTGGGTGGAAGATGTCTGTTTGCAAACAATTTTTATGGATGGATTTTAAGGAACCGGAAAGGAAGGAGGTTTATATTATAGAAATATTTTGCCTAAGTGAAGTTGATGTAAAGTAATAAATTTTTTTGCAAAAATTTAAAAGATTAAAAAATATTTTACTAATTTATAATTTGGAAACACTTCGCTGATGTAAAAAAACGATCAAATATAATGACTTAAAATAATGCAAATTTAAAAAGCAAAAAAATATTTAACCAATTTGGTAATTTAGGAAACAAAAAAAGATAATCTTTTTTTTCTACTTTTTTTTTATCCAAATATTGAAATAATTTTTTTCAAATTTATTTGCAATTTTTGCTCTCTTTGAATTTTTTAACAAATTCGTTATCGAAATAAAAGATTTATTCGCAAAAAAATGTCAATTTTATTAAACAAACTTTCAAATATGATTTAAACGAGAAAAAAAAACTAAAAGGTAAATTTACTACTGACCATGAAGTTAGCATGACTGTTACATTACATTTTTTTCCAAGCTATAATTAAAACTATAAAATTATATCAATTAAAGAATTACAATATGATAATTATTGAAATGATTAAAATCAATATCACTACGATTAAAAATTTCATTTCATTTTCTGTTTATTATTAAAGTTTTATGATAATTATTCTATTTGAGTGTAAAAATTCATTGAATAAAATGGGAGAGAAATGAAGTGAGGAAAGAATCATTGAGAAAAAAATTAGCAAAAAGTAAATCACTAAATGAAGCTTTCATTTGCTTTCAACGGCTATGATTGTAACATTTTTTTTCTTTTTTTTCTTCTCACATTCTAATAAATCATCAACGTTGAACCGAATGTTTCGTGTAAAGTTGGGCAAATTTGTAATTGAAAAAAAAAAGAATATTTTAAAATACATTTCTTATTGATGATGAATATTTGATGTGACGTAAGCTATCTTGTTAATCGAGTTTCATACTTAACAATCTGCTTCCTAATAACAAAAAATTAACGCTTAAGCTAATTTAATTATAATAGAGATATATATTATAATCCATCCCTGTATACCACATTCACACACATACACACATACATACATTTTTACTCTTATAAGAAAGAGAATCACTGATAATTTATTATCAACAATAATAAATACAATATGCATTTGTTACACATCCACTTATACGCGTATGCATTTAACACGTACGTATATATTAACTCCAACGTACCTATGTGCATATGTATTCATTTCCACGTATATCCA